AAGTCAAAGATGAGAAAAACAACTAGAATATATATTTAGAGGGTGTATGTGTGGGTGTGGAAGAGTAAGGTGGCTCTTAACCTACACCCACACTTATACCCACACCCTATATTTGATAAACACGCATTTTAGTAGCAAATTAACACAATGTAAAGTTAATATTCATCTTCCCAGAAGGACCGAAACTATGATTTTCTAAAATAAATGATATAACCCAGACATATTTCAGTTAGAATAGATACAATGACAACAAACGTTAGCGTTATGTATCCGAAAGACGTAGTAGGTTCTTGTCCTAATCTCACTGATTCCTAACGTGCCTTACCTATAATACGAGAAAGGTGTGAATAATCTTTTACGATTATGTCTCCGATGGGTAAAATTACTATGATTCTTTTGCGTGATTTGGAAATATTCTCTGTTTTCATGAAACTCTTCAATATGCTGAATCCATCATAAATTCCAACTCAATCCAAAGTATGTTTAGGACGCATCTCATTTCATTAGAATAATATATGAATAATAAGATGAAAAATATTAAAAAAAAAAACGCTTTTTTCTATCAAAACGTTCACTATATTTAGGAAATGAAGAGTCATAAGCACGAATATTTGTAGACTTGTTAAATAACTGAAATTTCATCGAGAAAAAATAGAGAAAATTCTCTAAAAAAAGATTTAACATGAGAATCATTGAAAAACTGATCAGGTGTCTTGTGAGGTGGACAACGAACCGCATGCCAAAATATTATTCGATAGAATAAACAAAAGTTCTATTTATGCATAAAAAAATAAAGCACCTGCAGCGCTCATATGGATTATAGATAAGAAAGAAAGCAACTAGAAGATGATCACAAAATTGCAACCAACACAAGTCAACTATATGCTCTAGTCTATTATGCCAAAACAAAGTTACGTCCAAGAATTCTTGCGAAATTAAAATGCGAAAAACAATGTAACTGGTGTTGCTCATCACAGTGAACTTGTTTTATCATATTTATTCTGGGATACTTTTCTTTACCATTGTTTTTACTTAATCCTTCAGGAATGCAACAAGGAAGGAATTAGTCCATATGTATTATAACGAGACACTATTGATATTTGGTCTGTCACAGTCTATAGGAGACAGGGCAATGAATTCCAATGTCTATCTGTTTACTTTAACATTCATTTTAGATCGTATTTAACAAAATACGGCAGTCAATCTAAATAGCAAAGATGTTTCTAATCACGGTTGATAATCAGCCACTGCCACAATGATCTTCGAAAAATTCTTCGCAAATCTCTTCCGTCACTCTACTAAATTTGCACAGTTAGATTGAATCCATAAGATTGATCACGGTTCTAACTGTTAGATTTATAGATACTTAAATCAAATGCAAATTCATGCAATTTTACAATCTCCCTAAAAGAAAAGAAACTGTCAATACCACTTCGCCATAAACATTTCTGCTCTATCCTTAAAGAATTATCTATAGAGATATATCAGAGATTTTTATTGTTTTTCTTTACATTTCAAGAAAAAGTGTGAGCCCAAGAAAAGACATTAAACCCAATAGATAAATTAATCAATAATTTGTTCATTAATAACCAAACAAATTTTTCATTTCAATACTAATTAACTTCCATTGAATATTTGCCTTGATCATTATTTTGTTGTTTTGGAGATCCAGCATTTATAGAATTACTTCCATCATCAATGTTAGATCCACTGCTATCAGTATCATATATATTGCTATCATCATTATCAAATTGTCTTCTATAACGTTGATTTGTATTACGTACTGTACGTCTCAAACGTTGAACAAAGAAATTTTGCTTATTTGAATTATCAAGAATGTTTCCACTTTCTACAAATAATTATTAAAAATAAACGTCTTCTTCCGTATTACATATATTATACAAACCAGCTACATTGCCAACGAAGATTACAATAATTAGACATGCTACGATGAAAACTGAGATGATTGATCGAAATTGCATTGTTATTCTAATAGTTTTCATAAAAACAATATAGTACTCACTTCTTAATAATAATATTTACCTTGAAACAAAATGTTTGGCGTATATGTATGTAAACAGTCAACTATATTATTGCTTGTTCGAATGATAATTGTTCGTTGTATTTGAATATGTGCGACATTGGATTTTACTGCCACATGGACTTAATAAAATATATTCAAGAAAGATACAATACTCCTTTTTATTTTCATATAGTTCGTTTCAAGAGACATCATACTAATATCATTCTATCTGTTTTTTATAATTGATACCATTTGACCAAAAGAAGAAAAAATATATTCGAACATATTTTTTTAATAGAACAAAAAAAAAACAGTCAATCGAAATATCTTTTTTTTAACAGTAATTTATATTTCAATTTTTTTTTAAAACACAATCAGTTCTAATGATAATGAAATACTGCGATGGTTTGCTTATTATTATTATTTCAATGCTATCTACTGATTTGATGTACTTATTACGTAAAAAAACAAAACAAAAAATCGTGAAAATAAGTTTTACTTGTTAAAGAACAATGTTACAGAATAAATCGATTAAATTCATAATAAATTATTTGAGAGTATAATTCACAATCAAAACAATCAGTGATCAAATATAAGCGTATAGATATTTGAATATTATTGAAACTAATTTAACAAATAGATTTCTTTTTTTTTTTTATAGTTCGGAATTAATAAACTTTCACATCGAACGAAATAGATAAATATATTCATTTTTTCACCAAATGAATTTATAATAAAAAAAAAAAAGAAGAGAGATTGAGTGATCATAAAATTTTCAAATGAGGTGTGTGAAATAGAAATAACAATGAACGAAAGACATATTGCACACACAGATCTATAATGAACGATTTACAATGGATCGTGTGAGCCATGATTGAATGTTCGAGGTCGAGCAGTACCTCGATTACCTACGATAAAACGAGCTGATTTTGATTGTTGTTGAGTTTTATTAATATTAAGTGTTGGCTGTGGTGCAGATTCCTTAATTTGAAAAAAATAAAATAAAATCAAAATATTGATTATAACAAAAGTTATTCTTACCGGAGTAAGACGATGATCATTGGATGTTGATAAAGGAGCATCAGTAGCATTTGTTGATTGACGTAATGTTAAAAATTTTGCTGATTGAGCCAATAATGATCGACGAAGACGTTTATTTTCTTCTACTTGACGCGATAATTCAATAGCTAATTCTTGACGTTCACGTTCCGCAATAATCTAAAAAATGAATAATAAAATAAAATTGATTAAAACCAAAAATGATTATCAAACCCGTTCATTGCCTAAATTTGGTTCCAATCCAGTGGTTGCTCTCATAGATCGAAGTAATAAAATACTTTCTGTTTTTAATCGATTCAATTCAGATCGAAGACGATCATTTTCAAGTAATAGTTGCTTGATGTTTATAAATAAAAATTAAAGAAAAAAATTATAATAAGGATATAATAAAATAAATACCTCATTTGCCTTCAAAACATCTTCTATAGATGTATAATTTGGTATTTTAATATCCGCGAATGGTGGTGCATCTTTGCGAAGTACTTGTTCAAGATGTACTCTATAAGATCGAAGAAGATTAGCTTCATCCGAGCTATTTGCTGATTGTGATGATGGTGATTGTAATACACCGTTATTAAAACTTTTACTACGATTAACAGGTACTTGAGGTAGTGGACGTGAAAAAGGTCCATCATGCGTAGAAATTATCTGCATTTCATCATTTGATGTTTTTCGAGCGTTAAGTGGCAATGGAATACGAGGAGGGCTTGTAACTCGAGCTGATGTCGGTTGTGAAATTGGTGCTTTCCTACTTGGATAGGAACGATTGAGTTCAGATTCATTTGATGGAGTTAAAAAAGCTTGATTGACTTGACCTTTTAGTGAAGCCATTTCACGTTCAAGAGATTCAAGACGATCATGATCTAAATATTTCATATATATATATATATAATCATCTACCAAGGAAGAAGAAACAAATAGTTTTATTATAAAATACATACAATGTCGTTGTGGGCCAGTATAGTCATTAAGTAATGACGCTATTTCAGTGCGAGCAGCAATAGGAGAGCCTCCTTCTCCTCCTCCTCCACGAGCAGCTGTTTCATGTACTGGTTCTCGATTTGAACGCACTTGCTGCATGTTTATAATTTCAGCGACGTCAATATGCACTTAAACAAGCATCATTTATTTCTCTTTTTTTTTCATTTTCTTTGACTCGTACCATAGCAATGCCTCTGTACAACATGGAAGTCGCTATCGAACAGTACGACAATAAATTGATGTGAATTTTTCTTTCCAGAGAATTGGAAGGACAATTTGTAAGACGTAATAAACAATGAAGGTTACTTAACTTGTATGAGAATCAATTCTTTGCATTAAATATTTATTATAAAAAAAAGAAATTAGTTTTAAAGCACAACAACAACAAAAAAAATATCATCGATTTATTATTTTTTTTTCCATAAACATATTTTATCATTACGAATAAAAACAAATAGGAAAAAAAACATTTCTTTTTCAAAATTCATAATATCGATAATGTAATCGGCCACTAGCAAAAGCAATTAAACCCATCGACAATATTGTAAGTAAATGTCCAGTTTCAACAAGATTAGCACTATAATTATTGTATGTTGTAACACGTGAACCTTCAGCAAGAGCTGCAACCATAAACAGAGCTGCAAGAAAAAGAATTATTGATGGAATAAAAGCTAATAAACCAGTTAATTGAATGAAATTCATTGCCAAAACAATTAACATTCCAAGACCGAGTAGACAAATAGCAACAACTAAAAGTCCTGCTGCATGTTGAGTACCAAGACCAAGTACAGTATTACGTTGCATATTAAAACAATTTGATGATCCATTAAGTAAATTACCTGTACATTGAGTAAAAAAATTATAATAGACTGTTTGACCATTTGAATCTTGATTATAATACCATGAGTACGTAGCTGTACCAACTATTGATAGAACCAAAGCGATTATACTGAATAGACCAGTTGTTAACACAATCATACGACTCAATGGATCTATTATTAATGATGATGTTCGGCTAGATAATACTTCCATTTGTTAAACTATATTAAAATATAAATGAAAAACAAAATAAAACTTAATATCTGTTGTATTGATCGTAACTTAAGTTAGAAAGATTGTCATTTATTCGAAATTAAATTAAGAATTTTATTCGAACATGTACAAATCTTATTTGTTTATCAACACAAAAAAATTTCATTATATTTTGAAAATAATTAATTGAAACATATTCTTAAGTACTTTACAGAAAATAAAAATAACTTTTACTTGCTTTAGCAATTAATACTCTCCTTGGTTCTAAAAGCCGATTGAAGTTTTTGTGAATAAAAAAAAATATATTGTTTTTAAACAAGAAAAAAAAAGGTATGTTAACGTTTGTAGAGGCAGAATGAGTTATAAAGAAAAAGAAACAGAATGAGGTTTGGCAATGACAGTTAACGAATACGTATTCTTTTTATTCGTTGTTTTTTTTGCTGTTCACTGTTCCTTTTCTCTTTTTTTTGATCAATCGTTCTGATAAGAGAGATTGAATGCCTTAAAAAAAACCGTGGTTACAGTTCCAATGATCAATCAATCAAACAATCAGAATTGAACTATGATGAAGCATTTATTATTTTTATGATTTTGTGCTATACAGATTTTGGAGGTTAAATTCAATAGAAAGTATTAGATAAATTGTAAGTAGAAAAAAATTGTTCAGATCAAAACTTGTGTCGATGCTTTATCAATTACCATAAGCGACAGAACCAGGAGATTTGCGTACGCTCGAACTCACTTTATATTCAATAAATACGGACTTAGATAGACTCTATTGTATGTAAAAACTTTCTATTACTGTTTAGTTTTCATTTTCTTTAGGAGCAACTCGTATCCAATAAGCATAGACTCAAATACTTCTTCTCTCCGTCCATCAATTCGATAGAGTTTAGCAGCACATTACACTGTACAAACGTCAATATCTTGGGTCACGTCTCATGGCTAATGATAGCATTTCTTTAATCAAAGAGATTTAAAAAAAAACATTTTTAAGGAAACATTTAGTCTTCAAGTGGAGAACTTTCAATACAAGCGAAGAAGAACTGTACGGAAAATTTTAGTTAGATTAATAAGAATCTGCCAAAACTTTTACTTGTCTTCGGTGACTACGATTATATGTCTATTAAACATTTTCAATATTTGAAACATCTTTTTCTTCCGTTAAAGCACATTACAAGTTGTTCTTTTGAAAATCGTATTTCGATGAACATAAACGTTCGCATTTTTATACAAAGACACATTTTCTACTCAAGTTGTGAATTTTTTTCTGATCTGTACCACTGTTATACGTTGCAAAACGTGAATTCGATAAAAGTGACAATAATTGTATTTCATTTATTTGAAGATAGTTACAACAGATTGAGTTGCAGTTTCTGCCAAAATGTAGTCACGCTTTCATAATTTATGTGTGCATAATACCAACACTCTATGTCATGTATTGATTTTGCTAGACTAGAAATGCTGATGTACTTTGGTTTCGTTCAAAATTGATCATGTATGAATATTGTACTTCACATTTTGTTCTTCTTAATAAGAAAACATCTTTAAGAAATATTTTAGCGAACTTTCATTTGTTTGTTGGTTTAATTTTGAGTGAAATTAAAGCACATCATACTAAGTGTTTGTAATCTAACAAAGTAAATTGATGAAATAGAGAGCTGATATTTTGACAAGATAAACAATAAAAGTTTGGTTATATTATTGATTTTAAGCATCACTATATATGATGAATTAAAAAACATTCAAAAAATATTCTTTTTTAAATGAAATTCTTAATCTTCTATTGTATCTATTGAGAGAAAGAAGCACAACGAGAATCAATTTTCAAGTTATTTCGATTTAGATGTCATCTAATATATATACCAAAAAAAAACTTCCTCAGTATGATTGTATATTCTATTTCGTTACAACATCTATTTGCATTTGAACGATTCAATTGAAATGGTAGCAATCAGGGAGTTGTCCATTGTTACGATTACTACTTGAAACATCTTGTCAAATGTTCAAACATTCAATTAATATCATCGACATATACGATTTTCAATTTTCAATAAAAATATCGACAAGTCACTTAGAAGCAAAGTATAAATCAAAATTAGTATTTAGATTGTAATTTGAAGATAAATTTTTCACAACAAAAATTGTCATTTTATATCTTGCAAGAAACATTCTATAGCAGTTTTTTTTTAATCTCAATTCATTCTATAATACTGTTAGAAGTTTTCTATGAAGTGAATTTCCGATGTGCAAATTGAATTTCAGAAAATATTCGTGCAGATGAAAACCAACCACTATTTGCTATCAAAGTTGAGTAACACTATTAAAAGTATTATCAAGTTTAGTGAAGAGACTTAGATAAAAAAATAAACAAGAACCGAATTGATGTTGTAATATAGTATATTGAAAACAATTGAAATAAGATTTATTTTCAAAACTGAGCAAATCAAGTCAAGTCAAACTTTAAAAAAAAATCATAGGAAATGTTAATGACATTTTTTTGTTGATTAAATCCATGAATACACCACAAAGTCCATAATTGTCAAGATATTATTAGTTCTGTGGCAAATATTAAAATTATATTAACGATGAAAAGCCAAAAATAAAATATGTTTCATGTATCATTTTTAAAATATTATTATCAATAGATTAAAAGACTTAACTGAAAAAAAAAAGAAATAAAATAAACTTCTAATTAATCATCACATCACAATAATAGAAAAATAATTCACATTTACTGTATTTTTATAGTTGCTATTGAATTATTCTGTTGTAAATGATGAATTTTTCGAGCAGTAAAATAATGGCGATCACCTGCATTACGTCTAACTTCTGCTAAGTTTTCTTGCATTGATGTATACATATCATATGGTGCTGGATCAGTTTGATTATTCTTACGAAGACTTGGAAAAAAATAAAACGATAATGTAACTACCAAAGCAGATTGATCATAACGATGTATCATTGTAGAACCAACTATACGTTTACATCGAGTTGTCCAACCTAATGGTGTTATACACTTTTCATCAAGAGCACATGTTACCCATGTTTTAAGTATAAGACGTGATAGAAAATTATCTGTTACAGCAAGAAAACCTGCTTCAGCAATATAAATATCATCAAATGTTGAAATTGTTTCTTGAAACCATAATAATGTTCCAAATGAAGTAAAACATGGTAAATAATGCCCTGGTAATTCACGACATGAAAAACCACGTATTAAATTATCAAGAAGTAAACGATCGAAATTTGATGTCTTATAACGAATTGATGTATCACCATAAATAATAGAACCAAAACGGTGTACGGCATCCTAGAAATATGAATATTTATATTTTGTTTTTTTTCTTAGAAATAAATCTTCAACCTGAACTACGATAGGTTTCCAAGCAAAATAACGTAAAGTTCGTATATGAGCAGCAACATGTTCAATTTGAGCAAATGGAAATGGAATGATTGTACATCTTTCACAGTTCTCTTTGATCTAGAATAGATTCAAAACTCTATAGATTATATTTTCGTTAGAATAACTATTGTTTTTTTTTTCGATACGAGTCGAAAATTTTTTTGACAAAATTAAACTTCATGTTTCTTATGTTCTACTATTGTCGGTATGATAGAAAAATAGATATGTGATTTCTCAACATTTCCATCGTCCCCAATCAGTGTTTGGAAGTATTACGGCTAGTTTCTTATAAATAGAAATATGATAATACAAATTCTGATTGAACTATTGATGTATATTTGGTTTTTTTCTTCATTGCTAAAGGTATACCTATATTTTGATGAAGTTTAGCATCATCATCATCATCAAATTAATCAAAGAAATTAGGACCGATGACATTTTCCACGCTAAATCATAAATTTTGTACCAAATGAGATCTATTGAACATAAAACACAGAATTTATCAAAATTAAATATAAACTATAATTTTTGATACTTTCAATATGAAATTTCGTAGATTCATATCGTATGTATTTCGTTTAAAAAAATGTCCGACACAAATTATATAACTATCACATGTCTTACCATATTTAATTGAGTTGTAATCAATCCAAGATCATAA